TTATAGAAGTTGCCGGTCAGCCATGGACCAGCGTGCGGCTGGCTTGAGGATTCCTCCTTCATTGCTGTTTGCCACCTGCAGGAGGGTCGCTGAGTCCTCTCAGGAATAATGGAAGTCATCCTCTTAAGTTTTTAATTCATTGTGTGTAGAACTCAATAAATGTTCCTAGGATCTCAACACAGACTACAGGAGGAACAAGAACAGGAGTAGAGGCAAGAGGGTTAAGATACAGGAGTCTCGGATGTTTTTCAATGATGGTTGGTCCGTTCAAGAAGGTAGTTGACATGTGACTTTTGTCCACAAAAGAATTTAGCTGACTCAGTATGAAGACGGAAAAGCAAAGAGAGTTTTGTTGGGGAATTGGGATCTATTTTTTTAAAAAAGTAAATGAATGATGAATTTAGGGTTTTTTTTTTAAATCTGAAATTAAGAATTTCAACAAAAGTTTTGTTATTTGTTACTATTAGACAAAGCCAAAGAGAATAAGCTAGAACATAGCAGGGAGATCTAGACCAAGTCTTAGCAGATACAGATTCGTAGCATTTAGCTTGAGTAAAAAGAATGATAGATACAGAAAAAAAAAAAGAACAGAAGACAAATGGCTCCTGTGGAAAGTGCCCATCAAAGAGCAAAGAGAGGAAAACTGCCGAGAGATGACCTAGGAAAGAAAGGCTGAGAATTTTTACAAAACATGAGGACGGAGACATCAAGCCATGGGTTTAAGAAGAGCAGCAACTCTGGAGAAGAGGTCACACCTGCCCATGCCAACGTAAAACTTCGAAAAGCATACGAGATACAAAATTTTCATCTTCTGGAAGCAAAACTCAGATGATTTTTTTTTTTTTTACTCTCAAAAGAAACATACGTAAAAGAATATCCATGAGAATTCTGGCCAGTACCAGAGAAGTTAAAATCGTGATGTATTTTCTCTCTGGGTCCGGAGAGTTACAAACCAATCGTCACCACTTCCGACTTTTGTCCACAAAAGAATTTAGCTGACTCAGTATGAAGACAGGAAAGCAAAGGAGTAGGTAAATGAAAAACAAAAAAGACATGGTGTTGAGGAGTGTGAGGTAAAGGTGTGTGGTAGACAACCTCATTGTATTTTGGATAGGAAATACAAAGAGTCCATCCATCCATTATTATGTCATATTATTATAGTTATTAAACAACACTAGCGAAAGTCTCTGTGTATAAGATCATTATATGAAAAATAACTTCATCTCATATTCCACCAGTAAGAAAACAGAAGATTAAGATTTCTAATACCATTTATGAAAAAAAATCAAACCCACTAGATATATAGTAATAAATCTATCAGGATACGTTCAGGACCACTGTTCAAAAAAGTACTAAAGCGTTCCCAAGTGAAACAAATGATGGTTTTAACACATAGGCTCATGCCGTGTTCTACATTAAAGGATAATTTAGAACATCATGATGTAAAGACATCAGCTCTAAATTTGTCTGTGGATCTAATCCCAGACTGAAAGTAATTGCAGGAATATGGGGGGGGGGGGGGCGGAGAAGAGGGAAGAGAACCGGGAGAGTAGGATTGGACTTGTGCAGCAACACAAAGAGACGAGATAGCATCTTAGGGGGGGAAAAACAAAGAAGAACTGAAAACACATTAGGTAGTCAAACTTAGAAAGCATAAGACAGAGTGGGCTTATTTCTGTTTTGTTTTGTGGTTTTGTTTGTTGGTTGTAGTTTTGTGTTTGTTATTTGTGTTTCTGAGACAGGGTCCCAGTGTGTAGCCCCTACTCATACATAAGGCAATCCTCCTGCCCCTGTCTCCTGAATTCTGGGTTGACTGCCACATGCTACCATCCTTAGGCAGGGTGGGCTTCTTTCTCTATCTAAAAGCAGACAAGTAGTCCGAAGGGACAGAGGCCAGAATCACTTGACAGTCTCCGTCGTCACAGCCCATCTGAAAAGCAGGCTTAATAATAGATCCTACGGTGGTGCACCCCTTTAATTCCAGCACTTGGGAGGCAGAGGCAGGCGGATTTCTGAGTTCGAGGTCAGCCTGGTCTACAGAGTGAGTTCCAGGTCAGCCAGGGCTACACAGAGAAACCCTGTCCAAAAAAATAAATAAATAAATAAATCCTACACATAGGTTTTCAATATTACAGCAAGAGGATGTAAATACTATAGAGGTACACACACACACACACACACATACACACACACGTACACACACACATACACACACACATATGTCTTACTTTGTTTAGCTAAAATTACTATTAGCACTACATTTCTTATAATTGTTATAATTCTGCTAACCAGCATTTTTAGTCTTTTGATCTATTTTTCCACATAAACCACCTAGAGGCATGGGTGTTTGGACATCCAATGCTGGGGCCAACACAGCCACGCAGGTGCCAGTTCTTAGCCTACATACAAAAAATTAACAGGTACACACATGCTAAGAATTTCATGACTCAGTCAAGACAGACATCATAGCAGCTGAAAGGGAACTTCGCCATGTGTTGTTACACAGAGCTGTAAGACGTTAGTGGACATTTGTTAAGCATCAGACACGGAATTGTGCTTGTGCATGGGCACATAGTTGAGAATCTTCATATGTACATAAAAGCCCCATGTAGATGGGTTGGGGCAATAGCTCAGTCAGTAAAGTGCCTACTGTGCATGAGTGAGGTCTTGAGTTCGGGATACAGCACCCATATGAAAGGCCATGCCTGGAGGCACACACACTGGTAATGCCCACACTGGGGAGTCAGGGGGATGCCTGAGATGTCCTGTCTAACCAGCCTCACCTAATGGGCAAGCTGCAGGGCCCAGTGAGAAACCCTGGTCCTAAAAATAAGGTGAATGGCTTGTGAGGCACAACAAATCATCTGCCCCCTATGTGTATATGCACACACATGTGCTAAAAAAAAATAATAATAATTTAAACAAAAATTTTAATAGACCATGTAAACGTGAATTGCTTCTTCTCTTATCCGAACTGTAGTTTGAAATTAAGACAGAAAATATGGAAAGGTTTAGTCCCATTGATTGAAAACTTTCGTGATGTCATTGGATGGGCTTGGAACTCCTTTCCTTGTTTTGTTTTGTTTTGTCTTTTGTTTTTTTAACCTGCATGGATATAGCATCACCGTTTCTTAGGATTAGGAGGTGGTGAGAGATTTCATTTCACCTCATACTTCCAAGAACAATCATGTGCCATGGTTTACAAACCAAGCTGCTGCCCTGTTAGGCCCGCGCTTCTCCTGAAGGCAGAACCATTATTCTACTTTGAATCTCCAGCCTCTGTACACACTAGCCTTCCTGGTATATATCGTCTTCTCCCATACCTCTGTCCTTCTTGGCCGGCCATAGTCTAGAACTGTCTCTTAAGATAGATCAGCTGCCTGGCATGGGATTTCATTCAGTCGGTCACTCTGCCAGCTCAACTTCCATGCCGCAGGGACGAAGGAGGTGACGACATGAGCACTCTCTGGTGAGGTCTCCTCCCACTAGAGGTTACATGGCTACTTGTTCTTGCCTGAGTTCACACAGTCTCTCCCTCAAGCTTTCTGGCCCTGAACCTCAGGTGTTCGTTAGCGTGCTTCCTTCCTGCAAGTCAGCAAATTAAATGCCATAGTTGAATCAGTCTTCCTAGCTCCATCCAGACCTGGGAGGAGGGGCAGGCCGCCTGCAGTGCAGTGTGGAAGGTGCCCTCCTATGCTTTCCTGCACTTGGTCTCAGAGAAAACCTCCCTTTAAGATTCCTCTCTAAGGAAGGAGGAGGAGGAGATGCTCTCAAGCCTTTTGTCATCTTTGAAATGGGCTGCCTTGCCGTAGGCTTCTGTGTCTGCTGGAGTAAGGACCAGTTGTGTCCTGGGGCTTCCTTCTCCTGAGCTCCCCACTGTGTGTGTGTCTCATCAGGTAGCTAGATGGCCATACATCTTTGAGGTGCAACCCTATAGCTTTTTGATGCTAGATGTTAAGCCTAGGGTTTTGTGGACCCTGAATTCTCTACTAACTGTAACACTGTTTTCCATAAGTGTAACATTGTTCATGCCTGTGACAAAATTACCCGAGTTCCTAGAGGTTCGGGTACATAAAGAAAGGTTTGTTTGGGAAGCTGACCATCCAAATAGCATGGTGCTGGCCCTGGTCAGCACCCGGTTTACATTGTATCACCATGGATGGTGTCACAGCAGGATAGATGTAAGCCAGAAGTGGATGCTTCTGACAGTAAGTACATCCCACCTGGGGAGAAGGGGAAGCCAGAGTGTGGAGAGGACTAGGCTTCCTCTTCTCACTCATCCACGAGAACTGTGGTCTCCTGGGAATTGCATCAATTCCTCCTGAGGACACTGTCCACAAGGACCGCACGTCTTAGATGATTTAGTATTCCCTAATGCTGGTACAGTGGAGACCAAGCTTCTAACACTTGGAACCTTGAACTCAAACCACAGCTAAAGCATAGCGGTTTTGTATGATCTATGCAAAACCCATCAAATGGCTGAAACATGGGTTTCTCCCGTTGATCGTATTCTCCAAACACTGATAGTCCCTCCTTCCAAAGCCTTTGCTCTGTATATCTACACTGCAGCCTGATTGAACGTGAAAGACACTCTCACTCTCAGTCAGATCTGTGCGTGACTTCTCTAAGTAGTTAGCAAGATTTTTTTCTGGAACCAACCTGATAGACGCACCTCAGCTGGGCAGGTCCTCTGGTTAGAAGTTCGGCACCGTTGGTTCTACAGATAAATACCTTGCTCCAGGTTGTCGCCCTGTGAGTGGTTCTGAGAAAGATTGTTGGGGTGACATTCTCCCGTTCCCATGGGAACCTTTCATTCTCCCCTGCTCCTTGTCAACCCTCTGCAGGAAGGCCGTGCTGTTGAAGGACTTTCTGAATAAGCTAAGAGATGTGGGTGGAACCCTTTGAGTCGGGGGCGGGGCAGGGGGTGGTGGACCAGAAAACTGAATCTGGAGAAGACGTTTATCATCCTAATAAAACGAAGCACATGGTTTGCATTCCAGGTCCTTCAGCTGTTCTATGGGAGCACGGGCGTTCTCCCATGACAGTGTTTTTATCCCTGATGGGGGAGCAGAAAGTGAGCAGACAGTTCAAGCAATGTCACAGGACAACATCCTGGGCAAAGTCAAAACTCTTCAGGTAAGGCAGCTTGAGACTGGAGGATCAGAGCCAGGGGAGCCCACCCCACCCCCATCCTCTGTGGAGGGACGTGGAAGAGTCCCTGGCTGGTCCTTGAGTGACGGAGTGGGAGGGTCAGGGGTCACTTCAGGAGAGAAAGCTTTGATTTCCTATACCCCTCTCAGTTCCCCTGTGAGAGACACACTTAGCACCGTTGTACCTCACCCCCAACACCCGCTTGTCCTCTCTCCTCTCCTCCAACTGTTGCTTCCTGTTCGGACATGAGAACAAGTCCCCAAGAGAAGCGACAAGGCTTGCGTGTGGGAAAGAGCTCCTAACCATTTAAGTTGTCTGAGCTGCTATCCAGAGTCTGAATTGCACACTTCCATCGTGTGAGTCTCCAGCGTGAGGCGGGGAGAGGCGAGACTCTGGTGTGTCTGCAACCGCAGCTCCCGGCCACCTTGTCTAGAAGGAACCCTTTCTCCCTGCAATGTGGGCAGTCATCTCAACTAATATTGACTTAGGGGGTGACTCCCTAGCAGTGAGAATGTGGTAAAGTAGTACTATACTAAATGTGGTTAAAAAGAATGGGTCCAGGAAAGGTTTTTTTTTTTTTTTTTTAAAAAAAAAAGGAACATTATGTGGAGTCATTATGTAGAATTGTGTCATTGCTCAGAAGCATTTCCCTCACCAGGAATCACTACCAGGACAAGCAACTTCTCTGAGGTGAGGCCTGGAGATGACCTAATCCAGTGGTTCTCAACCCCTTTGGGGGTTAAACAACCTTTTCACAGGGTTGAATATCAGATACTTGCATTGCTAATGTTTTGATTGGGCATCACCACAACCTGAGGAACTGTATTAGGGAATCACAGCATTAGGAAGGTTGAGAACCCTGCTGTAGACTTTGAACAGAGGGCTCTGGGTTACCGAGCCCCATCTGACTATGTCTACAGCAATGAATGTATGAGAAGACAAAAAGCAAAAGAAAGAAACAGTGGTGGCCCGAGAACTGATGGATAGAAAGAAGCATTACACTCAAAAGTAACTTTCTATTCTCTTTACCCGTTCTTGTTTCTACTGGGCACCAGCTGTGTATTTTATGACCTAAGGTCATACACTCAGTGCAAGGTGATTCGTGAGAAACCAGGAAGTAGCCAACGCCCTGGAGCCACACCCAAACTTGCTTAGATCTTTATGCCTGCAGCCACCACTGACCAAGGCCAGGCTCCTGCCCACACAGCCAGCTCAGCCTGGCTTGCAAACGCCAGCACTTCAGAGCGAGATCCCTTCTTCTTGTTCCTGCTGGCTGTGATCTTGTACTTTGACACTCCAAAGAAGCAAGCTGTCACTTTTTACACGCGTTGACTAGAGAGGACTGCAGTAGTTGGGGAAAGCATTAACCCATTTCCCTCTTCCAGTCTTTTGATTACCAATAGATTCTGAGCCCCTAGCCTATCACATCCCTTCACTAAAGGGAATGATATGCAGAATTCATTCCATGAAATAGCTGTATTTTACAGGGGCTTCAAGAAATTCTCTAGCCAGGCAGAGGTGTTGCACACCTTTAATCCCAGCACTTGGGAGACAGAGGCAGGCAGATTTCTGAGTTCGAGGCCAGCCTGGTCTACAGAGTGAGTTCTAGGACAGCCAGGGCTATACAGAGAAACCCTGTCTTGAAAAACAAAAAACAAAAGACAAACAAACAAAAAAGAAATTCTCCAAAGGGTAGATACTGGCCTGTTGCCTTCAATGATATATGCTCTGTAATGTTTACCACATACCACTGCCTCTTTAAAAAGTGGATTTAAGTGTTGTACAGCGCATGTAATGGTGCAGTGTTGAAAAAAATAGAAACTCAATAAAATATATGAGTGACTGATTTCTTTTAACACGGAGGTATGGTTTTAAGTAAGCTGACCTCATAATTGATAAAATATAGAGCCATCAACTTTCCTGAAGTGACAGTTTGGTTAACACAAGAGGTAGGAGAAGGGGGTCAAAATGACTAGTGTGTGGTCCCAGTCATATGACCTCTGCCTAATTTTGCTTTTGCCCCTGGACTCAGGAGCTTCCTTTGATCTCCATAGTGATAGCTTTGGAAATATTTAGGGCTTTGTTCTTCAAGGTGGGGCAATGGGGACCGTGGTCAGAGAAAATGGGATTTTTTTTTAAGTGACCTAAAGGTTTAACTGAATCACTCCCAAAAGACTATGCTTTATTTTTCAGTCGACTAAGCAGTATGTTCCTGGTAAGTCCCCCAAATCTAGTGACTTCATACACTTGCATGAGTGCTTTGCATTTCCCACGACAACGGTATGCTGGTGTCGATGCTCTGTAAGAAGCATACGCGCCCGCCTCCTCATAGACTCCAGCATGGAATGAGAGTTTAGCTGTGTCAGAGGCATGTGTGTTTCTTATGTCTAGAATCGTCATTGTGTACGTCTTTGTTTGATGTTTTGTTTTAAGAAAAAGGGGATGGATAACATCTCTTTGACAGTGAATGTCCTGGATAGGTGATTAGCCACAGTTGGTCTAAATATTCTCTAATGAAATTCTCTAGATTATCATTTAACAACAAAAAATAAATGTTTAAGAAACTATCTGACCAGCCAGGCGGTGGTGGTGCACACCTTTAATCCCAGCACTTGGGAGGCAGAGGCAGGCAGATTTCTGAGTCCGAGGCCAGCCTGGTCTACAGAGTGAGTTCCAGGACAGCCAGAGAAACCCTGTCTCGAAAAACCAAAAAAGAAAGAGAGAGAGAGAGAGAGAGAGAGAGAGAGAGAGAG